GCTGAGCTGAAAATGGAGCTGAAACTCAGATCATTGCCTGTTTCTGGGACTAAGACAGATCTGATAGAGAGACTCAAGCTGTATCAGGAGAACTCCAACGTCCAGATTGCTGCTGCCATGGAGACAGCAGCCGTCCCAGCAGCCCCACAGCCTGAAAACATAAAGTTAACCCCGCCTGTGTCCCCTATAGCTTCTAAGGTGTCCAATATGGGCATAGATGACAGCAGCATGACAGACAGTCCACCAAAGCTGCTTTCAGACACTCCAACTCACGCTGCTCCCTGCATGAGCTCCCCACAGAGCGCACCACATGACGAGTATCCCGCAGAGACAAAGTCCCACGAGAGGGACTCTGAAAAGGACAAACGTCTGCATGAGAAGGAGCGTCAGATTGAGGAGCTGATGAGGAAGCTGGAGCAGGAGCAGAGGCTGGTGGAGGAGCTGAAGATGCAACTGGAGGTGGAGAAGAGGAGTCAGCAGGGAGATTCTCCACCTCAGCTCAGTCCTCTGGTTCCCGTCCAGGTGAAAGAGGAAAACAGGACGTCCACAAACTGCTCAGAGTCCTGCAGCTCTCCTAGCCTGCCAGTGTTGGTCAAACAGGAGGAGTCTTCAGTTCACGTAACCAGTCCAAGTCAATTCATCATCGGTCACCAGACCATCACACAGCCTGAAGCCCTGCAGTCCGTCCAGGCCGGAGCTCAGATTCTCCTGCCCGCATCCCTTCCTGCCTCAGCAGTCGCTGTTCAGCTCCCTGCCAAAGGCATCAAATTACACACTACTGTTAGCAGCACAGCTCCAGGCCTCATCCAGACCTCTGGAAAGGTGCCACAGAAAATAGAGGCCTCAGCAGCATTACAACAGCAATGCAGCTCTCAAACCCAGCCACTGACAAAGGTAAGAAAACACTCTCCTGCTTGCACAGACTACCTCGGTCTGTCTCCTTATTCGTCATCACTATCAGCTGTGATGCTGTGGTAGTTTTGGATTCCTTGTACAAACTCGAATTGTATGCAATCACCCATACGTGAAATGTGTGTGCACCTGAAATCATAAATTCTCCTCTGTGTGCAGTAAATACAAGGCACGTTTTCCAGCATATATGCGGTGCCATGTTTTCAATGGCACTGCCTAATATTTCACATGTCACATCTAACAATCAGTTACGCGCCACCATGGGTAATGCATCTTCCTTGTAGTCACAGTAATAACAGGCTTCGGCTGAGTGGTAAAATCTTTTCCTACTCACATCAAAAGAAGGCCTGTGGAAACATGGGTTAGTGGAGCAGGTGCTGAGTGAGAGCTGACCGTAGTGCCCTCACTGCCCTCTGTCGTCCCTCTGCTTTGAGCCCAACATGCAGCCAGAATTAGTAACAGAAGCCGCAGATCGACGCACAGCACTCAGGAGTTACGCTGCATAGCCTTGCAAACTGTGCTGTCACAACATGCTAAATAATAATGTGTGGACTTAATAGAAAAGAAAGAATGCTGTTTGCATCAACATTTTTGAGTTCAATCAACTTCACACAGCAAGCTACACTGAGTTACGGGAATTAGCTTTTCCTCTACAATCGAAGCTATTTTTAACAAACACTTAATGATTGTTAGAACCAGTCTTTGAATTGATAAGTCATCAAATTAGGTTGTTCCAACAAGTTTTTCTAATTGAAATTATGTTTTGTGTGTTATGTGCTTAATTACCTTAATTATGACCAGAAGTTGACAAACATTTTAAAAGTGTACCTGATCCAATTAGATTTTCGTCAGGACTTTTTGGCTTTTAAGAAATTGAGTAATTTGCTTAATTGCAGAAACTTTTTTTTTTTAATTTTCAACTGTAGTTGTATATTTCAAGACACAATACTGGAATATTGAAGGTAAAAGCAATGTCAATTAAAATTGCCCCACAAATTATGAATCAACCAGAAAAGTCCTCCCGAGCTGAGCAGGTTGGTAAAATGAAACTTTATCATTGTTATCCACTAGTTTGCTAAACTGAAGGCTAGGCTAAATACAACTAGCCTTAGCTGCATGCAATAGTGCAACATATTCCTTCAACCACTGTCGGTCATATCGCGATCACAATATCCCCAAATTCAATGCTTTAGTGCAGGGGTGTCGAACTGCGGTCCTCGAGGGCCGCAATCCTGCATGTTTTAGCTGTTTCCCTCTTCCAACACACCTGATTCAAATGATCAGCTCAGCATCAAGCTCTGCAGAAGTCTGATAACGATCCTGATCATGTGAATCAGGTGTGTTGGAAGAAGGTGAATAAAGAATAAGCTGTCGAGCCAATGTCATGAAGTTACAACAACTTGAATTTAGTTTTTAATCGACCAACTCAGAAATTTGAGTTTAAATTACACATAATATTAAGTTGATACAATTACCAATATTACCAGGTCAACAAAACCCATCAACATTATGTTTGTAACTATAAAGTTTGTCTAAATCAGTAAATGAACCTTTTTATCTTGCACTTATGCATTCATTTAAGCAGTAAGAACAGGTCCCTTGGATTTCTTTTTAAAGTGATGGAGGGTGAAAAGTGGTGATGTTTCAGCTAAAGACACACCAAAGCAAATCACTCCCAGGTGTCTTTGTGTGAAAGCAGGTGATCCAGAGCATTTTAGTGCCACAGATCACACTGATGCCTTCATGTCTGTTCTCTACAGACGTGGAGGATGGGTACCACAGCACAAGGATTACTCAACACATTCCCAGTGAGTGGATGTGCTGCAGGAGCCTCATCTAGCCAAGCTGTCCCCAAAGCTCCTATAAACAAGGTAGATGAAGACCCCAAACTTCCTTTTGCTGACTCATTCTTTATGTCTTTTCCCGTAGAGTACTTTGGAATTGCTATTTTGGAAGTGCTGATCCCTGGTTTACATAATTGGATAGTTTCAACATTGCATTTTAATGACAGCTTGTATCAGATGTATCCTGTTTTTCTTTTCATGTAAGGGACTGTTGTCTTTTCCTGTTAAACAGTCTCCCTGTTCCAGCCAGTCCGCTTTGACCCTGCAGCAGCCAAAATTCACAAACCATGTGTCACAATGTAAAGACCCTCCCCGCTATGAGGACGCAGTCAAACAGACACGCAGCATGTTAACAGCTGTTCAGGTAAAAGTCAAATACAAATCAAAGTGCATCTTTTTAATTTCTGACTGTCACACATTTAATGCTCTTTGATTTCTCTTGCAGTGTCCGACTGCAGCTAGCCAGCAGATGGATGACTTGTTTGACGTGTTGATCGAGAGTGGTGGTGAGAATTATTGGACTTATTTTGGCAATGAGCATTTAGAAGATGAAGCACAAGTAAGATTTCCTCATGTTAAGCACTTTGTTTTTTCAGAGATCTCCCCCTTCATCAGACATGATCCTCCCAGCCAGGACAAGCCTCTCCCTGTGACAGCCAGTGTAACCACCCTTCCCATCAACACAGTCTTATCCCGCCCTCCACCTTTAGTCCAGGTGGCCCAGCTGCCCGCCGCACCTCTCACCCCCTCGTCAGGTTTGGATTCGACCCTGACCCCCGACCCCCAGCTGGAAACCCTCATGGATGGCACGCTAGGCACGCACACCGGGCCGCAAAAACTGAAGCTGATGGAGGAGTTGCACTCAGCTGTCGTAGCCATGGAGGTGGACTTTAATGAGAACACGCCGCCATCCGCTCTGAACCTGCACAACACCAACATGGACAACATGGATTGGCTGGACCTCACTCTGTCTGTGCCAGCGGAGGGAGTTAACCCTTTGGACGTGTCAATGCCAGTGGGCGTCTTCTCCTCTGACTTCCTGGACTCTCATGAGCTGCACTTGAACTGGGACTGAGTGATGTCAAGGTGACTTTTTACATCATTCATTTCAGAAAAAAACATATTTTTATTGCAAGCGAAGATTGCCTTTGTTTCCATGAGACAATAAGAGCTGTAGGAGCTTTGAGCAGCTCTTTTCTTTTCTTTTTTTTTTGGCTGGATACACCAGCTCAGTAACTATCTAATCATGCAGTGACAGTTTAGAAGTTGCTGAATTGCTTCCTTTGAGCTCTTTAAACCCTCTGATTGTATGGAGAGACAGATAAAGTGGGACTGGTACTGGCAGTTTGGGCTAAAAGTGGAAGTAGCTTTCAAGATTTCCATCTCAAGTTATGCCGCTGATTTCTTATCAGTCTGTTCTCATGTTATTGATTTCTCTTTGTCCTTCGATCTCAGTGAATGTAAAGCTTTGCACTCAGCGTCGTGTTCGTGGAGAGAGCGGAAAAAGGTCCTAATCCTGGTTACAGAACTAATGGACAAACAGCGCATATAGCTGAGGGCTGCTCTGTGGTTTACTCCACCCTGTCTTGGAATGATTATCACTATCTAAACAGATTGTAAACATACAACCGCCACATGTTTCGAGTGTGTTTGTGGATTGCAAAGCAGAAGTCAGATGTTTAACTGAATTGGGAGTACGAGAGCACTCAAGTGCCTGATATGAGGCCACCACAGAGTCAAACAGCACTGACGAAACCAGCCTCAGTATTTATTACAAATTATTCCATTGACATTGTTTCATCTCTTAATCGTTTCTGTTGCACTGTGCAGATCAGCCAAATGTAGTGAAGCTGTATAAGTGAGGAAAAATAATCACTTACAGTTATGGACAAATAGTCACTTAATGTGCAGTATTTAATGGTATTCAGTGCTTTAAAGTCCAGCACACTGACTCTGAAAGAGCTAAAATTGCTGAAATAGGGTCAGTTTCATTTTTACTTTGGTAGTTTGTTCAGTAAATGTACACATGGCATGATGTCTGCAGAGTAACGACACATGTACAGACACAACCTACTCAGAAATAGCATAATATTAATATCATGATCTGCCACTCGTTTCTGTTTTATCATCATTTCGTGCCAAATGGCTCAATGCATTACAGTCTCCTTGTGTTTCAGTGACATCTGCTGGCCACATCTGATCAGAAGCCGCTTCAGCAAGCACACTTTGGTTTGACTGTTTTTCTCTTTTTTTTTTTGCAAATTACAAGAAAAAAAAGAACTTATGTAGGAAATGATGCTCAAAAAACAAATAGTGCACAACATGATGCACCACCGCCCTGTGGTGGGCGTGTTGTAGCATCAAGGTCAGCCCAGTGATGCTGATATGTTTTTACATTTTTAGGGATTCACTGTCTGTCTCTGGAACCAGCTCACCTGAATGTTGACATGTTGAAGGAATTGTTGTGATTTTTTTATTTTTTTTCCTATCAGTACATTAGTGCCTCAAATGACACACTTTAAAAGGGGTTACGTGCTGGAATGAGAAATGTTTTGTCTTTACTATACTAGTATAACTCAACACCAAAAAGAAAAAAAATGTACAATGCATAGTTTGTATGCCATATGTTTTACACATTGTGTATTTATGTTACCTTTTATACAAATGTAACAGTCGTTTTTGTAAATACAGAGATTGTTTGGGATTTTGCAGTCAGTCGATGAGCGTCGCCACATACCCTTTACTGCTTATCATTAAAAAAAAAAACTATACAAGGAAAGCCTGTAATTTTCTGTTGCAGTTACAGCTCATCACATTTAGAAATCTGAAAAGAAAACTGAATGTTGGCATGACTTCAAAAAAACTCATCAATGCAGTATATTTCTAATAAATTGATCCGTTTTTTTCATTTCAGTAAGTGCCATTTTGATATACAGATGGGTCCAAAAAAACCCATCTACATTCAGAATCCATCTGTGCTTCGTGTTTGACATTTCCCTCTCAGCCACTGATACTCAGTGCATGCTGCATCATGAATGGTGAAAATTAACAGATGAACTCTGCAAGAGAGTCAAGCTGCTGAAAGATTACATCACCAATAACTGCAAATCCAACGTCTGCTCGGTGTGAGCTTCAGTCTTTGCTTTCCTCTCAGAGCTTTTTCAGCGTTTTTAACGACGTTCGGCACTTTGGACACCTGTGTGTGATGGACTTGAAGCTATCGACGCAGAAGGGAATGAGGCAACAACCAGCCACGCAGCTGCAAAAGAAGGAACAGGAAGGTGCTAAAATGACAACAAACCAGATAGCATTAACAGGCCCAACAAGGTCTGATTATATTGTCATGCAAATATTTCACCGGCCACCTGAGGGAATGGTTTCGTACCCGATCACAGCTGTCATAAAACACACCAGCCAGGTCAAACTGCTCACAGAGGTGAACGTTTCTGTCATGATGAACTCCCGACACTCTGGGCACTGTGTCCTGCATGGATGTGCTGGAAGCTTTTCCAGGTCCAGAATCACTGTAGGGGCTGTGAGGAGAAGACAGTTTTTGTACTAGTTGTCTCACTAAAACATATATTCATTCATAAGTTCTTTACATTTACACAAATAAAATCTAAATTGCCATCAACATTTTAGTGTCGATTAGCATGTAGTCTGTATAAAATAAATGACTGATGAGCTAATCAATGCAACAAATAGCCTGATGAAGACCCAAACATCTGCATTCTGTTGTGATTTTGTGAAGAGCTTATTAATACATCTCTTCTGTGTTCCTATTTTACAACAACAGCTGAACAGTTAAAGTGAGTATTTGTTGCTCACCACTCACCAGGGAAGTTGGGTGGAGCCTCAACGTAGAAAACATTTACACCAGGAACATCACAAGTCTCGATCTTCTGACTGGAGGCGAAACTAACCTCTAACAAAAAAGAAAAATAAATGTGACTGAAGTATGACGGAGTATTGATTTGAAGCAACAGTTTGGGACTCACCTTTCTTGCTTGTCGTGTGTTTGGCATTGAGGATGTTATCATAGCTTTTTTGGAGTGTAGCCTTCCTATCACTCAGTTGTTTCAGTTTGACATCAACGCTATCGATCTCTTTCTGAGTGGAAACTGCTTCCTCTGGTGGAAAATGTAGAATAGACACAGACACCATAGATATAAAGACAGCAGAAACAGTAGGAAAAACGGGTTATATTTACTGATTAAAACAGGAAAGACATAAAAAGCGTACTTATTACATTTTCTTGCATGCTATTTTTGTCACCTCTTTGTCCAAACTCAGCAGAATCTCTAAGCTCTTTCAATATACACAGGAACTTCTTCCTCTCCAGAAGTTGCTGCATTTTGACGGAAACCTGTTTCCACTCTGTAGTTATATTGTTCAGCTCGTTGTCTGAAGAAGTCATGGTGGCTGCTGAAAAGACAGAAAAAGATCAACAAAGCTTTTTTGATAATTCTCAGACTGTTAGGACTGAAATTTGAGGGATTGTAAGTTTGTTCCTTTGGCAAAACGCTTATTCAAACACATCTAGAACTATAGTTCTATAATAGGTGGGTGTAAATGGCTGTGGCAGTGACATGTAATGATAACATTTTAAAGGCTTCTTTAGCATCAGTTCTTTGACATATTAATACGAAACACTGTACGTTGGAGTTATGTGTATTTGCATAGCTTTTGTTGAGTTATTCTTTGTAAATGCACTTAATGTGGCATGGATGTGATTTATCTTTCTTATAATTCTTCACTGCATCATCTGTTTACATGTATGATTTGCTTAATTCTCCCCTATCTGAAAAATTAATCAGCAACAAGTTTCAGGATTCAAAAAATCTTGGCGGACAAAAAAGAAACTAATGAAAAGACTCGCTGGTGTGTTGCCCGCTGTGCTGCCTGTAAATTCTGCTTTTAAATGTGCTTTGCTAATTACACAGATAATAATTTGGCCAAAACAGTGAGTGTGTTTTCAGAAATGTTGTGTCTCCAAAGCATCAGCAATGAAGACAGATTTACTTCAGACAAATGCATAATAGCTATCAGCAGCTGACTTAAGGAAAGAAACAAGTGCTGCACTGTGTCAAGAAATCAATTGTGTAGGTAGTTTTCTGTTTAAAACAAAAACAAAACAACAACAAAATAAATACAATATCAGATGCTCTTCAAAAATACACTGTAAAAATAAACCTGTGCCTGTGTGTCAGAAAAAAAGAAATATGTGAAGATACGGTGAAATACTGTGATTAAAAAAAAAATGAAACTGTGAAAATAACAGGGACACTTTGTAAAATAATAGTTAAAAAAAATATATAGACTTTTTCTTAAATCCCTAATATACATATTCTTTTTAGACAATTACAAATGTCTGTCAAATTGTGATATTTTTTAGGATATGGAAACACAATAAAACTGTCATTTTGTAGCTGCACATTGAAAAAAAAAGAATTACCCTTTGTAAAAATACAGATGTTATTTTTTTGTGTTAACATGTTGTTAGTTTGTTTTCATTTAATCGAACAGGGAAAACCTATAAAACAACTATAAAAGGTTCAACAACTCAGTTAGAAACTGTTGACAAAAACTTATATAAAACTATATATATGAACTAAACAGAGACACTGAATCTATTTGAGCAACATATGGTTTGAATCCATTCCCTGAGCCAGCTAAAGTACCATACAGAAAATAGTAGTAATTTGGGTGAATGTAGCCTTAATCTTAATTTCAATATCATGCTCTGTACTCACTGCTACACTATCACTCTTACAACTCATAACTTCTTAAACTTTAATTAAAACTACATTATGTAAGATATTATATAAAAAAGAAAATGCCTGGATTACCTAATTTCTTCAGCTGCTCCAGGTGTATCCTGTACTGGCAAACATGATACACTAGTTCAACAAGGGCTGTAGTGTTCTCTATCATCAGGAAATATTCAAATCATCACGTTGTTTATAGATACCTTCTTTGGAAAATGTTTTATATCACCCTTGTTGAGATGCAAGCTCAAGTAAAACATGAATACACAGTTAAAATACTGTAATCTGTTTAATGATTTTCAGACAGTTATACAAAAGTCACTGCACATTGGGAGTTAAAGGGGACACAGTCCAGGTATTTTATTTACAAGTAGCCTCTTTGAGAGGCAGCACAGTTTGTAACCAGTGTTTCAGAACAGATATCTGTGCAGAGAGATATCGATGACACAACTATCCTGAACAAACAACCAGTAAAATAAAACAACTTTGATTACCATGTCAAAGTTATCTCAAATCTAAGAGACAGCCAGTACTGGTGCACACTGCAGGAAAATGTGTTTGTTTTTGTTTTTATTCCGGATTAGGCAAATATTGGCTCCAGCACTTCACTTTTTCCTGAGTCTCTTCATGAACGTCACCTCATCTCTGTTCCTGATCCCATAGCTGAAGATATAGAAAACAAACAAAAATCAAAGACAGAGAAGAAACAGTTCAACAGTGTTGTTGTTAACACAATTAGATTAAGTGCTAATTTCAACTTGTTACACTTACTCTCTAAGCCTCATCCTGTCATCGTCAAGCTTCTCACCCTGAAATACTAAATGATACGTTCTCCAAACATATCTCCTGGGGACAAAAAAGGGGAGAATGGCAGCAAAGAATGGCAATGTAATAAAACACAGAACAAAGACGTCACATTTCTTTTATGGTCTTGTGTTTGTGAATGTGTTTACCAGCTAACGTGTTCCACTCCTCCTTCCCGTTGCTGTTTCAGCTCCATAAATCTGCGAATGGCCTTCTTCAAATCAAGGACAGTAGCATTTTGCACCACCACTATGGCTTAGGGAGAAACATTTAAAAGAATAATTATTTTTGAAAAAATATAAACACTAATATAGGTTTTGTAGTGATGTTAAAAAAAATGTAAACATAAAAATACACTGCCTGGCCAAAAAAAAAGTCGCCACCAAAAAAAAAAGGTCATACGCTCTAATACTTTGTTGGACCGCCTTTAGCTTTGATTACGCATTCGCTGTGGCATTGTTTCGATAAGCTTCTGCAATGTCAAAAGATCTATTTCCATCCAGTGTTGCATTAATTTTTCACCAAGATCTTGCATTGATGATGGTAGAGTCTGACCGCTGCGCAAAGCCCTCTCTAGCACATCCCAAAGATTCTCAATGGGGTTGAGGTCTGGACTCTGTGGTGGCCAATCCATGTGTGAAAATGATGTGTCATGCTCCCTGAACCAGTCTTTCACAACTTGAGCCCGATGAATCCTGGCATTGTCATCTTGGAATATGCCTGTGCCATCAGGGAAGAAAAAGTCCACTGATGGAATAATCTGGTCATTCAGTATATTCAGGTAGTCAGTTGACCTCATTCTTTGAGCACATACTGTTGCTGAACCTATACCTGACCAACTGCAGCAACCCCAGATCATAACACTGCCCGCACAGGCTTGTACAGTAGGCACTAGGCATGATGGGTGCATCACTTCACCTGCCTCTCTTCTTACCCTGATTCACCCATCACTCTGGAACAGGGTAAATCTGGACTCAGACCACATGACCTTCTTCCATTGCTCCACAGTCCAATCTTTATGCTCCCTAGAAAATTGAAGCCTTTTTTTCCGGTTAGCCTCACTGATTAGTGGTTTTCTTAAGGCTACACAGCTGTTCAGTCCCAATCCCTTGAGTTCCCTTCGCATTGTGCGTGTGGAAATGCTCTTACTTTCAGTATTAAACATAGCCCTGAGCTCTACTGTTGTTGTTCTTCGATTTGATTTCACCACACGTTTAAGTGATCGCCGATCACGATCATTCAGGATTTTTTTCCGGCCACATTTCTTCCTTGAAGATGATGGGTCCCCGCTATCCTTCCAGTTTTTAATAATGCGTTGGACAGTTCTTAACCCAATTTTAGTAGTTTCTGCAATCTCTTTGGATGTTTTCTCTGCTTGATGCATGCCAATGATTTGACCCTTCTCAAACAGACTAACATCTTTTTCACGACCACGGGATGTGTCTTTCGACATGGTTGTTTAGGAAATGAGAAACAAGTCATTGCACCAGTTGGGGTTAAATAACTTGTTGCCAGCTGAAAGATAATCGCCCATGCAGTAATTATCCAATAGGAGGCTCGTACCTATTTGCTCAGTTAAATCCAGGTGGCGACTTTTTTTTTGGCCAGGCAGTGTATAACCAAAGAGAAAACGAAACAACCTCAACACTTACGCATTATTTCACCATCTGCCTTTAAAACCCTCACGGTCATCGCCTGGCCATACTCCAAAGCAATCTGAGAATTCACCTCCTCCAGAGTCACCTGCAGATACAGATAATCAAGATTCAGAAAAAAACTGTTTAAGCTTGATGTCTTCTCCTTGACCACAGGAGTGTAAAGAGTTCCTTGGTGTTCATGGTTGATTTTTGCTCTTACATGTACGAGGACAAGTCATGCACATAAGCCTTTCCAGACCAGGTGAAATGTTGACTAGATCAGCTGCCTTTACCAGCAAAACTGCAAAACATCTACTGGTTCCTGCAACTGAGTTTTAAGGCTTTGCTGTCTTTCTTCGCCTTGCATGTTGGTGAAGAGAATACTTTTGTAGTATACAAAGAAAGCAATTTCAGGTGGTCACATTGGGCTTTTTTTGTGACATTTTCCAGTCCAAACAACACACAAATTTTAAAAGGTGGACTTATGACAAGTTTTAAATACATCTCTGGACTGATGAAACACAGGCAGATATAAAGTATTCTCCAAAAGTTTTAATTTAAATGCCTGAAGGAGCAAAAACATTCCTGTCACTCCATTGTTGGAGGTCGCAGTATGTACACATTGAACATGTGCGTCTGATGGACTGAGCACCTGAATTGGCAGATCACAAAGTAACGGGTCCTGCACAAGTTGAGCAAGTCCCTCCTCGAAAATGTCCAGAATTTCTGAATGAGGAAGAGCCTCCTCATCTTCCTCTTCTTCATCTGGGACTGCCATATCTTTCGGGTTCTCCTCTTCCACCTCCTCCTCCTTCACTGACTGTTCTCCTCCATCCAAAGCAGAGCTCGGACTCCGCTGTTCCTCCATCACAGGGAAACAAACCCCTCCAACAAACGGCGGCCCTGTTTACCCGCAGAACAAAGCGACGGTAAACCACGCAAAAATGATTTAAAGAGACCACAGAATTTAATTTAGAATTCGGTTTTGAATATGTAGTACGGCTTGCAAACGTCTTAGACTGGAAACTTTTTCACGCAGGAAACCGTGGAAGTAAACACAGTGTGTGCAGCACAAATTATGTACCGGAGGGCTCATGTAGCTCAGCGGACATCATTCCTCTTAGTGAAAATAAACTCAGGCACTGCTTGATCATGTCCTTAAACAATCATATGTTGAGTTGAATTTTGAAAAATATTTATTATCAGTATTTTTTTTCCGTGGTCGCTGTTTTTAACAGAAACCCGCCTCCTGTTCTTGTTTCCCACCGAGCTGTAAAAAGAGGAGCACCTACTTCCGCTGCTTCACATGCGACAAACAATTTACAGCAAATACACTAAAAAATAATGCGTTTACTGTGTTCAACAGACTAGTTTAACCGAGGTCTTTTTTTCTACGTAAGTAACTACATACTTTACTGGCAATATGCTTCTTTTTTGTCCGACCTGTGGGAATGTTTTAATAGTCGAGGAAGGACAGAAGTGCATGAGATTCGCGTGCAACACCTGTCCCTACGTACACAACATCACTAGGAAGGTGAGCGGCGATAAAACATCACTGTGTCCGCCTTGTACTAGACACCAGGGAGATGTTACTCCTGATTTTACAAGTGTCAAGCTTCTGACGTCTTTTTAAATGTCCAACAGGTAAACAACAGGAAGTATCCTAAGCTAAAGGAGGTGGATGATGTTCTCGGTGGAGCTGCTGCGTGGGAAAACGTCGACTCGACTGCTGGTACGTGACATTAACACATTTTATGGCGGGGTGGGTTAAAGGTTACAAGTTTTCAGTTCAATTTAGAGCATAAAAGTTGACTGTCAACGTGAAAACTCCTCCTAGTCTAGGTTGTGCTTCTCTTCACGTTATTGCCCTGGTGCCACTCACTACACTACTGATTTTGACAGAACAGCTTTGTATTGATCTCTACAGCGTTCCATGTAAACACTGATCTGAACTGTAAATAGTGTTTATCGTGCCCTTATTTACATGATTGAATAATGGGTTCTTATTGTGAGTTAATCTGTGAGTCTCAGCTTTTTAAAAATTCAGATTGTTATGAAGTGGCAGTTGTGTTCAGGGTGTAAGAGATGCTTTTGAAAGTCAGGTTTTCTAAATTAAAACCATCCTACACCCCGACACCCATTCTGATCTGTTGTAATTTTACATATAGAAGTTTGAATGTGTAATTGTCAAAGCCAACATATTTCTAACTCTTGTCTATAGCTGTCAATTATAGAATAATCTGTTAGTTATTTTCTTGATTATTAAGTCAGTTGTTACATCTAAACAAATGTCAGAAAATTGTGAAAAATGTTCATCATTGTTTCCCAAAGCTTGAGATGACACCTGTAAATGTCTTGTTTTGCCAACCAACCACAGATTAGTAAGGAAACCAGAAAATGTTCACACTTTAAAAGCTGGAATCGGAAAATTCACATTGTTTTTTTTTTTTTTGTAGTTATTCAAACCAATTAAATGATTTAAAAAAAAAAAAAAAAAAAAGCTGACAACTAACTAAATTACAGACTAGTCGTTAAGGCTCTGCTCTTGACACAGACCTGTTGATTTCCATATTTGAAAAGGGATAATGCACATTCATCAATATTCAATTAAATGTACACTTAATGTGCAATTAAATGCCAAAAGGCTCATTTTCACTGATAGTCCCGTTTGGCTGATGTTGTTACCTATCTGAAATGAATAATTGTAGCACAATATGGACAGCAACTAAATTAACATACATTCTAATACAAGCATATACAATACAGTTACAAATAAAATTGTACATCTGATAAAATACCGTTAAATGCAGCATAATAAACTCAATTATTTAGAATTCATGACACATATACAGAGTTGTTAAAGGTGGAATCAGCCTCTTTTTTAAAATTTATGATTAAATAAATAATAGGATGGGGACATTAATTGATTATATTGTTCAATTCCATTGATGTGGTGCTATGAAAGAAAAACAGCCTGAATAAATGTAGGTTTGCTACAAGGGATCATGCAGTCTCTCCCAGCTGCAGCTCCTGTAGCTCTACTCTTGCTGATGTGAAATTGCTCAAATCTGCCAGAGGAGGAGCGAACCGATGCATAACCTTATAAACTAGACATTTTTGTACTTGGTGAGATTTTCCTAAGCACACATTTATTTCTTTACAATGTGGCAGCAATGAAAACTGAATGGCTTGTAGTCCAAAGTTTCAAGTGATGTTTGTGTAATGATTCCAGTGGTTGAAGTTTATTAGATATGTGCGAGAGAACCAATGAGAGTAACTAATGAGCCCAACTTGAACCGTTTTTAAGTGGAGGTTTAAGCCAAACCTTCACACCACAAGGTGCTTTCATATCATTCCGTATGCTGCTTTTAGTTTATCAACCTGTAGATTTGAGTCTTCTGGAAACACATTTAATTGTGCACTTCACAAAGGTGTATCTAAGTCCTGCAGCCTTTCAACTGTTTCACTTTCAGCAAAGGATCTTATCAAATTCGTCAAGTGCACGTTTGGAAGTCGTGTTCACAGCAGAGTTAGCCCTTTTAGATAAAGCCTGCACACACAGGATTTTTATAATATAGTCAGTTTTTTCCTTTACAAAACACACCAAATTTGTAAACCCCAGTAGTCATTGTGAACTCAGACTGACACTTTTCACTTGTCTCTGTTACAGAAAAGTGTCCCAAGTGCGAGCATCCTCGAGCATATTTCATGCAGATTCAGACCAGATCAGCAGATGAACCGATGACAACTTTCTACAAATGCTGCAATGCCCAATGTGGACATCGATGGAGAGATTAACACCTTTGGACTTCTCGTTAGTAGATTTTTTTTTGGGATGATTTCCAGTTTTTGCTTTGGGAGTATATACAGCTGAAGAACGTTGGAGTTTCCTTAATGATTTTTATTGATAAAATAGTACCTGTATACAACAGTCAAACAAATTTTGACTTACATAGTTATACGTTTCACAGACATTTAGAGCAATGCAGACCAGCAGTATCCACAACAATGGCATACAGTACTTCATATTAAAATTTCATTGCAATCCTTCAGTTCAAATTAGATTTTCTTGCACAGCTCTTTTAACCTCAAGAGGAAAAGAAAAAATCAAATGCACATAGATTCTGGGAACTAGCCTGTGAGAATTACTTGTTATGGTGTGTGACTCATGCAGACAAACTCTGCGCTTGGTGAGCGACGGATCGGGCATGCTGAAGTGGAATAATGTTGGTTCACTGTTAGTAATAAATTGAGTGGAATCACAATGTCACTTTGTAAGATGTCTTGTTTTTTATCATTTATTTGAAGCTTATTCCTAGCAGAGAGTTCACTATTTATTATCAGTCAAGAGACATCTGTCTTTGTTATCTAACATGCATCTGAGCAATGCAAGTAACCTTAGAGGGCTAATGCACAGTGAGAGGGTGAATGTGATGATAACAGTGCCATCGTTGTAATTTTCTCAATACACTTTCCTACTTTAAACTACATGTTGGACAATATGTGTGAGGAGTTAATCTAGTTTTTAGTCGGAGTGGTGCTTCAGACTGACATACAACTCTCAACATATGGCCCGCAAGAGGACAAACGATCACTGAGATGTCATGCAGTGTTTCTCCATCAGTAACAGTTAAAGCCGCGGTCTGCCAGCTCACTTTGAGTCTACTATACTCTAAATAAGTGTAAGTATGGCGGAATTCACTCATCGAACATAAAACGAAAGTAAATGCCAGATTCTGCATTGCTTTTATTCTTCTTTTTTTTTTTATTCCTCAGACAAATGATTAGCCAAGGTTAAGGTTTAAATAAATATCTCAGAGGAGGAAATGTGAGTTTCAACTTAAAGTGCATATGTTGACTTTATTATCAAAATTAAGAACATCATGGACAGAGGGCATTGATGCATAACAGCTGAACCGTAAGTCACTGAACATTTTGTGACTACTTACTGAAGCCCAGAAGATTACTAATAAATATAGCAAGTAACATCAATCTTGAGAATTCCCAAACAAGCAAGTCATTAGTTTCTGGAGAAGAAAAATGGTTAATTCTCTCACATTCAAGAAGTGATTATGATAAAAAGGGAAAAAAAAAACAGGGTCTGTTAGAACTGACTTATCAGACACAGACAAAAATGTTCACAGTTCTGAATATTGTTAAAAGAGGATAAAATATGTGAAATAAAGTTTTAAAAAACAGAACAAGAAGATGCTAACCCAGCATGTTTGAATACACTTGCTTCTGAGCAAAATTCACAGATGAATTCAAATAAATAAAGTGACCATTTTCACAGCTTTCTCTAACTGAGGCTATCTGTAAGTTATTTTCTTCTCATTCACATGCGTAACATCACAAGCCTTTTTTCCCACAGTTTTTAAGATATCGGATGCACTTGTGTGCCTGCTGCCTATCCATCTCTGGATCTTTTTGTATCCTTCATCCTCTGCAGTTAAGTCAGAGATTTGTACATTTCAAATGCATGTTTATACATGAACGAAGTATGCTGAAAGATATATACAGTCAATATTCTGTGAAGTCATGAGAAAACTGCACTAACAATTTAAGAGGGCTACACAACACTTTGCAAAAATGGGAGGGGGGAAGCCTGTAACTACCAGCAGGAGGAGCTGTGAGTTTATGTGTGTGCATGTACATGTCTCTGGAGCATACAGCTGTCGGTGGTTAGCATATACGCTTGTATGTGTAAATGTAGCCCTTACAGTAAGGGCAGGTGTGTGTCACATCCTTGAGGTCGTCAATCAGACAGGGAATCAAGCAGCAGCCGAGATCACACCTGTGAATGAGGAACAGAAAGACAAAATCTGTAGCAAATCCACACATCTGCACGTGGCTATGTACAGCACTCAGAAAAGAAGTGGGTGTTTCAGTGGAAGACGAAAACAAAACCTGACCATCTGGAGTTAAGAATATGTCATCATAGCTCCCCAAACAGCAGTCACTTGAGTTACATTGATGGAGCATGTGCTTGTTTACTCTGATTGGAATGAATTTGTGTGATTATTGGTATTCTACTGTAATAGAGGTCACTGAATATTATGCGTGATGCAAGATCGACAAGATTATACAAGCATGTTGCGTGAATCGGCACCAGATTTCTGCATATTCAGAACATGTTTCGTCTTCCTCTGGCCTTTCAGATTGTATCACACCCTAAACATGTGCACTTGCTTTGCATATAAATGAGTTGCTGAGAACAGGCTGGGAGTGTGAACTAACAGAGAACACAGGCATGATCATGAGTTCTATTTTCTATTTTGGCATAGAAATTTGCATTTCAGTATACTGGCCACTATGATTATTATACCAGCAGAAATATGTTTCACCTAAGTATGATCATATGAAGTTAAGAATACTGAATGAGCTGGATCAACATTCAGAGTTTTTGTTCATTTATTTTGTGAGTGCAGGACGCTTTGGACTACTCAAACCCATCAGATCATGGCTGGGGCTTTAAAGTACACTGGCTAATAGACCACCGCATAACCACTGAATAAATGCTTAAATGCAGTGCAGTCATTTATCCTGTACCTACAAAAAGGTCACCTCCATGCGCTGGAGTATGAAAATGACAATAGAGCAATGGTTGTAGCTCTCTTAGATGACACACAAATATCTCTAAACTTGTAATGAGCATCTCTGTAATTGTCTGAGGCTAAGCCTCAGTGGCTTTAATCAATTACGGTTTATTTATATCCATTATTTAGACGGGTAATTTCATTTTATTTTTTCCCATACACTCTGTGAAAAGAACCCCATGCATTTAGAAACTGCATTTGCATGTTGCTTCCTTTGCATTGCGTGACGCTATAAAAACCCACCACAAGCACACCTGTGTTCTGCATGACTTCTAACCCGTGACCTACTTACCCTACAAAGAAGCAGAAGAGGCAGAAGAGTGTGTTCATGAGGCCGACATCATGGGAGATGCGGGTGATGATGGCCTGCTGGCAGTGCGGACACACAGTCTGCACTGGTGAGGTCTGGAACATTTCCCCCTGCAGTACGGTCACAGTGGTGGCTGCTCCTGGAGGAGCCAGGACGGTCGCTGTGTGACCTCCCATGTGAACAAAGTGACTGGGACCAGGACCCATCTGCCCTGGCATCGGGTGAGGGAAGTGACCGGGTGGGGGTGGGTAGTGAGCACCTGCACAGAACAAATTTAAATATGAGTCCAAGCAGAGGCAAAATGGTATGGGTTGGGCTGACCTTGCAGTAAGGACAGTAATTGTAATGTTTAGGAGGGAATATACACATCTATGCACTGTACAACCTCTAAGCTCCAATAACATACATGTTAACACAAAGACCAATGACGATGCAAAGGCGTACTTACTATTGCCTAACCTACTGAGAATTACTAACCAGCATTGCAGAGCCATGTAGCATTTAGCCTTTTAATATTCCCAAGCGCAAGTAAGCAACTAGCTGTTGGCAAGCTAAATAGTGCAATTACATCATGTCAAGCATCCAGAAGCATGAACCAAATTGAAGTTACTGTTACCGTCTCTGCCCTGACAACTATTTAGGCCAATCACATGCACTATGTGTGTGTTTGTATCTGCCGACAGTGTGAGCACCTGGTGGTGGTGGTGGCATTGGCATTGGCATGGGCATGGGCCCTTCTCCAGGGACATGAGGGGGAAGGAAGCCTGGCTGTGTGGCCTCATAGGGTGGTGGACCATAGTCTGGAGGCAAGGGCTGCCCCTGTGGAGGAGCAGTTCTTACTGTTTCTGAAAGAAAGCACACATGAAAAAGAAAGGCTTTCACATCACAGCTAGTTTGATTCAAGAAAGTGTTATTTTCTATCAATAAATGAGTGCATGCATTCAGAGTCGCTGCAAAACAAACACCTTGAAGGTGATCATATTATTCGTTGTTGTGGTTTACATTCAAGCTCCTTTATGAAGCCAGTAAGCGTTACAATGAAGTCATCCAAGCTGTTCACTGAGATCAGTGTCGCCCCATGTCTCCGTTTTCTCAGGTTAAGAGCTCCGTCTCATACTAAACCAAACTCCAAGCAGCGGATAGGATGAATATTACCACAGTGTGCAGTTAGACAAGTGTCCACGGTGACACCTTACGCAGTCATAATTAGTCAGGGGCATAATCAGGAGTTGATTGACACAGTAATGAAACAAAAATGACATTACAACAAAGTATGAAGAAAATATCCAAACTCAAATTATGGGTGAACCTAAAACATATTGACCAACCTGGATGTAGTATTTGCAGGGCTCTACACTGCGACCAAAATAGTTGCATTTCCTTTTTAAGTGCATGACGATCATTAAGCTGTAACAGTGTCGCTGTAACCAGCACAAGAGGCTGCTGTGTTAACCACAGTGGTGGAAAGTAGAACTTATAACTTCATTTTACCACAGTATTTACGCTTAAAAATGAGGTCTTCTCGTGAAAAACGTAGCATACCTGCATTCACTGTTTTTTTTCTTTTTAAATCACTGTTTCATTTTGGACCAATCAGACATGAGAACGCCCCAGTTAACTCTTTTTAAAGTCATTTTTGGTCGCTCACCTGTCTGAGCATACACAGATATCAACAGCATCTACCACAGCCTGCAATGTGGGGCGTTTAGGGAACATCGGTAAACTGCAGTGTTTATCGATAAGGAAATGTTCAGCAAGTCATGTTTTCCCTGTGACAAGGTGGGAGGTGCGACCAAATGAGAAAGTTGGTCACACTGGTGCTACCAGTGAAGAAGTTAGTCTGGAGCCCTGATTTGAAAATTATATTTCTTTAAAGCTATTAACAATTGAGATTAGGCATAACCTCAATCACCAAAACACATTTTTACCAAAACTCACTAAATAAAAGTTAACTGGTAATATTTAAAGAACCCTGCAGGTTTATGTACATCAGGGTGGTAAGAGACAGATTGCAGTCTACCCACTGGCAGCACCCTGCTGAGCACCAGCCACGCTATCATCGCTAACATCCAGGCGAGCCAGATAGTGGATTCTGATAAAATCTTACTTGTCAGTTTACCCGACTAGTAAGATGTCTGATGGCAAGTAATGAGAGTAGCAGCATTTAGTCAAACAATCAGGCACATCACTAACTGAGACTGGGCTAGGCCTGGGCAGTAAATGATAGTGGTATGTACCGGAAACAGAAAATCAATACAATCAGAAAATTGCTTGCTAGAAAACTTGATCATCAGCATCAGATGTAAAACACAATGAAAGCACAAACTGAAAACGCAAAGTTTGCTTGTATGAACAAATTCCAAATGTGCTCCCTCCCTGGCCATGAACAGCCTATTATACATTTACAATGGAGCGTGCTACGCACTGTTGCTCTTCCCACCTAAGCAACAATCTCCCAGCATCTTACTATGAGCGCTGACAGACATTATGTCAGGGGTTCGTGTGGGTGGGACGCCCAGTCCAGGCCAGCCATTACGAACCTTAACCTAGGCCTCTCCAGCTTTTACGAGCTTTCTTAATACAATGTGTATCAAGGTTTCTTGACACACATTCATTACTTCATCCTAATTTATCTTTATTTCGGTGTCATGTATTCAGTTGCACATGTTTTTCACTGCTGTATAACATTAAAATTATCATCTGTGTACCTTAATGAATAGGATAAAGTGTTACTTCAAATGAAGTCTTTTACATCTTGTATTTTACTAAGAGGCTGCTTGAAATGATCAATATCAAACTAGATGAAAAATGTTATTGCGTTAAGTTCTTCTGCTAAATTGCCCAGCCCTATAAAGGGCTAAACAAAGAAAACAGCCTCAAGTGTACTTGCTGTTGAAGTGATCTCACAGTGAATGCAGAACATCCGTTAGTACTGAAACTGTATCAGTGAGTGCTCATTAACATTCACCACACTCCTGCATGTTTAGGTTTATTACCAGGCTGTCCATTCTTCTCCTCAATGAGGGGGGCACTGGGACCTCCGGGGTACGGAGGGGGAGGATCGCTGGACATACTGGCCGAATGTCTGAACTGGCAGATGGGTTGGTCGCGTGAGCTCCACTCACAACTCTATAGGTCGACTTTCACTCTGTGAGGAACAGAAAACATGCACACTTTGAATCCCTTGGCTCATTACTCTCTGACACAGACTTCTTCAAGGCATAAAATGTTCCAACAACAGTCAGAGAGGCTAATGAAGTACTTGGTGTAACTGCTGCTGTCAGTCTGCACACATGCCATAACTATCAGAGCAAAATGAAGGCCATTTTATGATGAAGAATTCTGACAATGTTAAACACCTTTTGTTGAACTGATTTATTGGAGTACTGCCTACATTAGCGTGTATAATAACAAAATCAAAGCTGTACAAGGCTTTGCCAAGTATGCCATTGCCAAGAAGTTAATGTAATACTACATCAAATCAGTTTGTTTACATTTCATTTAAAGCAAAGCTCAAACTTGCATCTAAAACGTCATTACATCTGATCGTGAGACAGGATGTTGCCAGTAAAAGCTAAGATGACCACAGTTATTAGAATGATTGCTTGAGAACCTTGATGATCATCAGCAGAGTAAACAGGCTATTAACACGAGGATCTTCAGGATAAAATTATACATTATACATTGCACAATGTATTGTTTCAGCATCGACATTGCGATGCGAGTATTGCATATGCTCACATCACAATGTCGATGCTGGAAGACGCGGGAAGCGAAATGTGAAGTAAGGCAAACTTCCTCAAACACATACTGCTACGCTTTTTGTTGCTTATAAAAAAAGACTCATTTTCTATGACTAAAATATCGTAGAAGTCTGTCTGAAATAAAAATGTTGTCCAACTGAAGGGTTCTTGGACACACTGAGTGTTTGGTAAGGAAAGTCTGGAAATGTTTCAGCAACAGAACAGATAACGTTGACCAAAAACAGGTACTCTGTGGGCGGTGATTTGTAATTGTTGCCACTACACGAAGCAACAAGTCCAAAGCTAAATGAGAATGTCATTCAGAACAAAAAAAACTATGTTGGATGCCTTTTCCAGAATTACACCACATAAAAAAGGTCAAAATGGCTTTTTGTATTCTTATTATTTTATCTTCTAAGCAGATGTTCTGCCCTACAAAATCATTCTAGAATGTTTTTTCCCCAATATTTAATCATGTCATCTGGTGAAACTTCCTGTGTGTTTTTATATTACAAAATATAGTGCAGACAAACAAATAATCGCAACGTATTTTTTTCCCTTATTATGCAGTCCTAAAACAAAACAGTAGCTGTGATAACATCACTACAATACAAGCGAGAGCTGCTCTGTCCTTTCACAGAGCTCATGTTTCAACAGGAAGCACCGTTTTCTCTCTGGCTAAATAATGCAGCTGGTAACTGAGTGTAGTGTTTAACCAGCGTCTCAGAGAAAAACTAGGAAATTGCAGTGAGCTCGAGGGCGCCTAACCACAGCAACAAAAAAAAAGAGAGAGAGAGGCATGTACTTCGATTTCAGAAACAGTTTGTGAAAGCATTGATTTAACCACAGGAAACACGTGGTGGTACTTTCTGTATGGCGGGTTAGTGTTAGAAACTGAGCAACTATGATGCACACTCACAAGGACTTGGCTGTGTTTACCTGATGCTCCTAAGAAAAGAAAGTTTCCACCTGAAGAGCCTGGCAGATGTGCCACAACCTGTAATAAATAATACATAAAAAGTACTATTATTATTATTATTGCATCTTGTAGTATTAGAAACATCAGAGCAATGAAAATGCTGGTGTATACGAGTACACATATCTGACAACCTGGTGTAATGCTCAATATTAATATCACTACTAATATTATTACTTTTGTGACTGTCTGCAGCTGGAAATCAGTTGTGCCAAAAAGTGATGATCTGCCATAAACTGACTGCCCTACACTGGGGCAAATATCCTCATGTATCTATATTATTTTACTTGCTCAGTGCCCTGAAAGTGATTGTAACCATAGCAACAAAAGGGCCAAATTCTTGATGGTTACAGTTTAAAGTCCATACGATGCTTGCTAAAGACGCATTTTCTTTGATTTATCTATAAGCACCTTCTTTAATTCATGTTGACTACAGTGTTAACAAGGATGTTAGATATGCCACACACACACAGCTCAAACATCTGAAACACCACCATGGTGCTGCTATGATCCTCCCAAATGTCAGATCTGATTTACGCTGCAAACATCTTTTTGGTTCCTAATATTCGGTTACAAGGAACTTTAAAGTTTCACAAAAACAAACTTCACAACAGACGTAAAGTTGTGTGCATTTGCACGTTGTGATTGTTCGATCCAGATAAAATCAACTACAGACGAATATAAACAAGGTAATACAGCGTCTACAAGAAGCGTTTGCTTTTTAACAGATGATCACTTTTTAGCACGACTTCACTCAAGTCAACAAAAAAATACAAACAGTGAAACATCACAGAAATGACAACTATTAATGTTGGTGCCTGTAAATAATCAAACCTACTCTAAGTTTGTATCAAAGGAAAGCATTTTCATCAAACTTGCTGCTACAGTCTCTCAGCTAACCAGCTAGCTAGCTGATGTTTTTGTTTTTAATCCTGTCGCAGATAATCCAGCTCAAAGCTAGTTGCACAACTAACCATGAATAACTTAGTTACGTAATATAGTTTAAAGGGAAGCATGCAGTGATGTTAGCTTTAACTGATGTTAGTATCAAAAATAAGTGTCCCATATTTTCACATTACCAACTAAGACGGTAGCTAGCTAACGGAGTGGTAACGCGGAGTGACGCTAGTTGTGTTGGCTAGTTAGCTAGTCGCACACAGTTTCCCTTTCCCAGCTCTTCTAACAGGGTGAAGGCCGACTAACAGCCAGTGCTAGTTTGTGGTCAGCTGGTTTGACAACTCAAAGACAGCGGCGTGTCTGTCCTGCTCAAGCAAAATAGCACTAAACGCACGTTTGCTAGCTAGCTGTCGTTAGCTCGCTAGCTAGCGTCGCCATTCTTGACACAGGAACCACAGACTAAAGATGCGATCAGATACGGTCACACTAAAGCAGTAAACACGAGGAAATTTGTAGAAAACCACTGTTTCTGGTCTCGACTGTACTGGTGAAGCTGGCAGTGTGCTGAAAGCTAAATTACCTGGTTGTGGGTGAAGCGCCTCAAGCCCGCGGTGCAACTGAAGTTGTTTGACGTTAGCAGCTCCGAGGAGGAGAGTCAACATCCGCTGAGATTTACACCTGACCTCATTAACTATGATCTACAAACACACCGGATTTTATAGATTTTTTTCTAAACTGGTAAATTTCCATCATTATAGAAATTTACTTCATACTATAATAAACACTCAGGCTGTACATGAACAACTCTGAAAGCAAAAGCAGTGACACTTTATTTATGTTTTTGAAATGTTACGTCATATTCTAATTAATATTAATACACGCCTTTAAAAAAAAGTTACATACAATGTTTTCTTTTCATATAAACAAGTTTAAGATAAGATATGTTGACGTAGAAGCATTTTTAATATATATATTTTTAAGTGTTGGTATGTCAAGTGAACTGATGTTGACATGTTTAACCCTCTTTGATGAAACGTGGTGGTTTTGTTTTGAATCATCAAAGAGCAGTGATTTAAGGAACCTAAAATCTGACGATTCTCTCTGTTTTCATTGTACTTATGAGAATCAAAACGACTAAAACTGTTATTATTGGCACCAGGACCCATAACTCTGTAATTACAGTTGTTATTATTCTAACCATGTGCTACAGATATGCGTGTAATTTTTCCATTAAAGTTGATCTTATCTTATTATTAGCAATATTTACAATATTTACATTTTGACATTGTAGCTTGTTGCAATCCCTCACTTTAGAATATGTTAACGATTATAATAAGCAATAATTAAATGTACATGTTAGTACGGATAAATAATCTGTAACAGAAAGGGTTCATTGGGAGTTTTGAGATCAATCTACAACTCATCGGAAAATTCTAGGCGCAGCCATGGACGTATTTTTAGCATAGAGTGTGTCAGAATCTCCGCTGGTTGCTGCCCTCTAGTGGCCACTTTGAAGAACCGCAACATTAAATCTGTCAAATTAGTCTTCATGCAGACATAGAATCATGCTGTCATTTCCGGTCATTGCTTTTAGATATAGAGTGAGCGAACAAAAAATATAATGAAATAAATAGTTATTTCATTATTTACATTCTTACCTAAATGCTGCATTCAAAATGATTCATACCCCTTGATATTGTTGCATTTTTAATTTTTTTTAAAGCAAGGTTCTATACCTTTCGAATTGGTTCTCGGCCACCCTGATACTACACACCACATATACTACAGACACTACACAGAGCTGGTGTCCACACACAGTGACCAAGGAGGATTACTTCTTCAAAACAGCCTCACAAAAGCTCATCTATCCTTTGCAAATGGTCACCTGGACAAAAAAATAAAATATTTTTTGGTCATAAATTCTGTCATCAGATGAGACAAAATTGTCATTGTTTTGACACCTGGGATGTGGCTTTTGTTTGGAGGAAGAAAGAGGAAGCCTTCAGTCCCCAGAATGCTGTCCTCACAGTCAAGCATGATGGTGGGAGATAAATGCTTTGTAGGTGTTTCCAGCAGATGGGCCTTGCAACCTTGTCAGAGTAAAGGGCACCGTGGGTACAGTAAAACTGTAAAGGAAAACATCAGGCAGCCTGCAGAAAAGTTTGGCCTTGGGCAGCACTGGACCTTCCAATAAAACTTGAAACATACAGCTAACCTGGTGAAGAACTGATTAACAGAAAGCAATATCCACGTTTGTGAGTATCCCGTCTACCAGCACACATCCCATATACCATCAAGAATCTGTCGAGATAACTAAAGACCAGAGTGATGGCAAGGAAGCCTTCAAATCTCAAAGACACTGTCCAAAGTCCAAAATCCAGCACTTGTCAGCAATTACAAGAACCATTTGATTTGCTGTAATGGAAAATAAAGGCTTTTCTAGACACTGTGCTATTTGTAAAAACATAAAAAAACAAAGAAATAGTTAAAATGTATCACAAGCATGTGTACCACAATATCTTTGCATCCTTTCTCACCTGTTTATGTCATTTTGTTGGTGAAGTTAAAAAACAATTTGGAGCTTAACTGTTGCTAACTAGGAGGGTAAACATAAAACGACAGGATTTCCACAATGTTACTACAATTACATCAACCATAGGCTTTACATGACCAGCCATGCAGGGTCACTGACGGCCAGCCTTCACCTCACGTTACAAATCTTGGTGTCAGCTCTGGCGGAGAACTGAAATTTGACAAACAGAATAACTTTGAGGTAAAAGGGTGTTACTTTCAACTGAGGAACACTGCCAAATTGATATCTGTCTTCTCTTTAAATGACACAAACACTTTCACTTCTGCTGTCATGACTGTAACAATAGCAACCTCTGGGCGAGTAACCTGGTGCACTGAAAATGTCACCTTTTGCCGAGGATTTGGATCTTACAGTAAAGCAACCCTGATAGTTGTTTCAGTAAATTAAACATTTTATAGAGAGTGCTTGAAGTGGCAGTGAAAAAAAATCCACTGTCACTCTTGTTTGGGGACACAGTTGCTACAACCTTAGAGAAATACATTAAAGCCAAAGCATTTCCCCCTGAAAAAAAGTATGACAATGAGGTGCAGTCAGACCATTCAATCTGAGATTACACCTGTACTAGTATCCCTGCACTGGCTACCTGGTAAACACAGAACTTACTTTGAAGTTATTTATTTGTAAAGTCATGCATACACCTGGGTATATTTCAGAACTTCTTTGGCCCTACTCCACCCCTAGACCTCTTAGATTCTCAGACAAATTGCTTTTAGCGGTTTCAATATAGAGGCTGGTGGTGAAGGAAGAGAGTGACATTGTTATTGGAAGCTCCGGAGCTTTGGAATAGGTTTTTTCTTTCAAATACTTTATTATTATAATTACTACAGGTTTTGGGGAAATCTGACGACAAATACTTTTTGAATGACTTTTGCTTGCGCTTAATATTATAAGAATAATTTTTATATTTTATATTTGTTTTGAAATTTGATCATACACGTTGTTGTCCTTATTGTTTTCTTTCTTAGTATTTTATTAATATAGTATGTCATTTTTTGCAAACTAATTTTACAGGTATTTATCTGAGGACACCCGGAATCTTTCTGCGTGGAGTTTGCATGTTCTCCCCGTGCAGCGTGGGTTCTCTCCGGGTTCTTCGGCTTCCTCCTGCAGTCCAAAAACATATTGAGGTTAATTAGTGATTCTAAATTGTCCGTAGGTGTGAATGTGAGTGTGCTTGGTTGTCTGTCTCTAAGCGGTGTATAGATAATTGTTGGATGGATGGATGGATGGATGGATGGATGGTATATATCTCGTGTTGCTTTTCGCACATATTTTAGTTTCTGTCTGTTTTTTCAGCACTTCGGTCAACTCAGGTTGTTTAAAAACGTGCTACAGAAAAAACAAAACAAAACAACAACAAAAAAACAAAAGATTTGACTCGTCTAATTAATACACCAGCAGGTTTGTTTTGCTCCGCTGTTGTCTTTCATGGTTCCGCCCCCGCGCTGACCCCGTCCCCCCGCCCACCTGACCTGACCTTATTAGCTCCGCTCTCTCCTGCGGGCGGCTCCTGCTCACACAGCGAACGCCTTGACTCTGCTGAGACGCTTGGAGACAGCCAATCAGGCCGCCTCCCCGCTCCGCTAGCACGGCTCTGGCAAAACAACAGCTCGCCTCGATCCGCTTCCTGCTTCGCAGCTCAGCCACCGATAAACCGAGCGTCTAAAATGTCAAACTGACCGAAGCGCTTCGTTCTGGTTGGTGTTACGTTTGTTTTGGCGTTTGGTTTTGGCTGGAGGCAGTGGGAGCATTCCGAGGTGTTGACGCGCCGCTAGCTGCTTGCTAGCTGTAGCTAACATCGGCGATCCAGCAGAGAAAGATGGGGTCCATCCTGAGTCGCAGAATCGCTGGTGTTGAGGACATCGATATCCAGGCCAACTCGGCCTATCGATTTCCACCGAAGTCTGGTAAGTGATCGGCATTGTCTCTCGGCAAAAAACATCAACAACACGGATCTCCGAAGCCGGAGCACTCCCTGGCTAGTTGGCGTTTACTGTAATTCCTGTTAATGATCAGCTTTATAGTTGTATAATGATTGAAAACATGTAGGCTCGTTTATAAATGTCACAGCTTACTGCCCAGAGAACGCACATAACTCAGAAGATGTTGTCATAAATCCAATAGTCTTGTTATGTGTCGGTCGCTGCTTCTGCGGTGATTGTCAGGTTATAAAAATCAGGCTAATTATTAAGTTATTCCGACATTGTGATGGTATCATGGTGACAGATGTGCAGTGTTGTTGTTGTTGTTGTTGTTGTTTTTCTCACGTTGAAATGATGCTACAAGAACTGAAGGACCAAGGATGCTGACATGACCCCAATGTCAACAAGTAATTGTCATTATGCAAATGAGAAGCTTCTGTAGCATCTCAAACGCATTTAGAAAAACTTAATCTGGTCGTTTTAGTACACTTTGCTTTGTTATTAAAGATCTTTTTAGACAATTAAGACACAGTGTGGACATTGATGTGTCCGTGTATAACAAAAAAAAACTGTTTTTCAACTACCAAACGCTATTTAATGTTCCCTTTTGTACCTCTGCTGAATTATACACCAACATTAAATAATATATATGTATCATGACCAGTCAGATCTTGTTTTGGGGGTTAAAGTTCTGTTCAGACTACAGCACCCTGTCTCTGAAAAAACAACATTACTTACAAAGCACAAGCTCACCTTTTTCTGCTAAAAACATTGTCGCTATGTGTTATTGCTCGCAGCGTCCTCATTCCTCTTTTTTCCCCTCTTGTCCTCAGGGAATTATTTTGCGAGCCACTTCTTCATGGGTGGAGAGAAATTCGACACGCCGCATCCAGAGGGATACCTTTTTGGGGAAAACATGGACCTGAATTTTCTTGGAAACAGGCCAGTGCAGGTAGAACACTACGTATTTTTCGTAGCATCAAAACTATTGTGATGCAGTTGTACAATTCTTGTCAGTAAAAGGATTTATCAGAACTTGTTAAGAAAATTCTCATGATTCTTAATGCTGTTGTTTTTCTAGTTTCCGTATGTGACACCTGCACCCCACGAGCCTGTGAAAACCCTCAGGAGTCTGGTTAATATTAGAAAGGACTCTTTGCGTTTGGTCAGGTAAAGATAGTGTGACACTATTACAGTACAAATGACGGTAAAAGCAATTAACAGGCGAAGAAAGTGTTCCCTGTGCCGCCCTGATGTTCTTCAAACCTCTTGATTCTAGGTATAAAGATGACTCTGACACACCGGTGGAGGAAGGTGGAAAACCAAAGGTCCAGTATGGTGTGGAGTTCACATTTGACGCTGATGCTCGTGTGGCCATCACCCTCTACTGCCAGGCATTTGAGGAGTTCTCCAATGGGATGGCTGTGTAAGAACTTTATTGTACCCGATTCCTTTTATGCAACAAAACTTTCACTTTGTGTAGCACAAAACTACCACAATCAGAATATTATCTAGCCTATTTACTGATTACATTGAAACATCCTGTCGTCTGAATGAAACAAACACAGATCGCATCCATCTGTCTATGTTCACATTTTCATCAGTTACACACATACATCTACGACAAAGCTGCTTGATTTTATTGTGAAACATTGTGCCAGACTCATTTAAACCATCTTTTATGGGTGGAGAGATTCAAGCCTCAGAGCACAAAGTCTAGAATAGATACAATGGGTCCTTAGCAACCACCAGTCACCATGGATACTGCAGATAAGACTGAGACGAAGATGAAAGTAATAGTCTGTGCTGAAGTTGCCGTCTCATGATGAAACTAAGAAGATGATTTCTAAAATCAAACAGATCAGATATTGTGACTGTTCTACTCAATTTTCTTTGTTTTCATTTTGTTTAGGGACTGTAGTGAATTTATTAGGTAATCAGATGGTGACAACTCCCATTAGGTTTTCCACACTGATGTCTAAATGTCAGCATTTTGCTTTTGCGTTAAACCAGGCTTCCATCCATCCATTATCTATACACCGCTTAATCCTCACTAGGGTCGCGGGGGGGCTGGAGCCTATCCCAGCCGACTTAGGGTGAAGGCAGGGGACACCCTGGACAGGTCACCAGTCTATCACAGGGCTACACTTAGAGACAGACAACCAAGCACACTCACATTCACACCTACAGACAATTTAGAATCACCAATTAACCTCAACATGTTTTTGGACACCTGTCCAGGGTGTCCCCTGCCTTCGCCCTAAGTCAGCTGAGATAGGCTCCAGCCCCCCCACGACCCTCGTGAGGATAAAGCGGTGTATAGATAATGGATGGATGGATGTTTTTGGACTTGTGGAAGGAAACCGGAGAACCTGGAAAGAACATGTACACTCCACACTGGGACGCGAACCGGTGACCTTGTTGCTGCAAGACAACGGTGCAAACCACTGATCCACCTTGCATCTAAACCACTGAAATATTAGATCCCTCCAGCTCCCCTTTTTGTCTTTTTTACTTCTGCGCATACTTAGGACTCTTGCTCTGTCTTGACATATGCAGGTACAGCCCAAAGGATCCATCAATGGCCTCTGAAACTGTGCACTACAAACGGGGCGTGAGCCAGCAGTTCTCCATGCCATCCTTCAAAATCGATTTCAGCGAGTGGAAAGAGGAAGATGTGAGTATCTGCAGAAGTCACTGGACCACAAAAACAGATTGCATTCGTAAATCAACACAACTTGTGACTTATTACACACATGCATATATGTTCTGTAGTGTGTAATTGAACGATTGAATATGTACATCTTTTTCCTAAAAGCTGAATTTTGACCTGGACCGAGGAGTGTTTCCAATGGTAATCCAAGCTGTGGTAGATGAAGGGGACGGTAGGTAGCCAGAGCTGTGCAATAGGCATGACAATACGGCTTTTCAGTTGTGAAAAGGAATTGCACTTACACTGACAATGTTAGCTGTTAAATTGTAAGCTTAAATACACATTGGGTCGACATTGGTAATCATGTTTTTTTTTCTCCCTTTTTTCCCCCCAAGATTGCCTTGGGCACGCGCATGTACTTTTGGCCGCCTTCGAAAGAGTATGTATACAACTAAATAAAAGTAAATAAATACAGTCTGTGAAGCTTTTTTAAATGAACTAAAATGTGTTTCTTTTTACTTCCAGCATGTCGACGGCAGTTTCTCTGTCAAGCCTCTGAAGCAGAAGCAAATTGTAGGTTTATAAATGTTCTTATTCCAGTATTCACTTTTTATTACACAGCAAGTTATTGAGGGTTGGAGTAATGCATTTCTGAGTATTGTATGTATAAAGATAAATGTATTTTTGTTTTAAAAGAAAATCGAACAAGACAGCAAAGAGAATATAGTATAGTTTGCTGTCCCAACCGCTTGATTTATCTCATGTACGGAAAATGTTTTTCTTAAACATAAACGTCAAATTTCTGTGTCTGTGTCTTTCTAGGTGGATCGTGTCAGCTACCTCTTACAGGAGATCTATGGGATTGAGAACAAAAACAACCAAGAAACAAAGGTTTCAGTGGAAATATTAGCTTGTAAATCAGTCAAGAGTTTGTAAATGGCGTGTTTGATTTGTACGGCTTTGTTTGGTTAATTTCTTTTCTTTATGTTTTTCAGCCATCCGATGATGAGAACAGTGATAACAGCAACGAGTGTGTTGTCTGTCTGTCTGACCTGCGAGACACACTCATCTTACCTTGCAGACACCTGTGTCTGTGCAACTCCTGTGCAGATACTCTGCGTTACCAGGCCAACAACTGTCCGATCTGCAGGCTGCGTAAGAAGCATTGTGTTATTTTAAATATGTCAGTCTCTTTAAGCAGGTTTGATAATGCTATGTAAAAAGCGCATACAGTCAAAATATTCTTCACTCAGTTTAAAATGATGTTTAATTTTACCTGGGTCTCTTCTAACCAGCCTTCAGAGCCCTGCTGCAGATCAGAGCTGTGAGGAAAAAGCCTGGAGCTCTTTCTCCTGTGTCCTTCAGTCCTGTTCTGGCTCAGACCATGGACCATGACGAGCATTCAGTAGGTTTCATGCACATTAAATTGGGTTGCATAATACATTTTTTAATCTTAATTTTGATACAAAGGTCTGCAATAGTTACACTGTCTCTGCCACTGTCTGTCACTTTTCGCAGAGCACAGACTCGGTTCCTCCCGGCTTTGAACCCATCTCTCTGTTAGAGGCTCTGAATGGTCTGCGGTCAGTGTCTCCTGCCATCCCGTCTGCTCCCCTCTATGATGAGATCAACTTCTCAGGGGGCATCGGAGGTGAAAACAGACAGCTCAGCTCTCCGGAGCATTTAAGTGATGGAAGTCTGCAGAAAGGCAAAGTCAGCAAGTCACCTGACAGGTAATGTTTACATAAAGCCATTACTATAAGTAATCTAGTTAAGACAGCAAATTCGATAACATGTCTAAAATTAGTCTCAAACTTAGCTTTCAGCGGGGCTTGGTCAGTAATCTGTGTCATGCCTTTCGTAGGCCTGCGTAGCAATGATAAATTGTTGCACCTGTTGTACTTGTATTGTCATGCATTTCCTCATTTTTGTGCCTTCTCTCTCTGCAGCACCCTGAGATCTCCATCTTCTCCCATCCAGGAGGAGGATGAAGAGAAGCTGTCAGAGATGTCAGACGCTCAACCGCACACACTTCTATTAAGCAGCCCCGCCCCCACAGATGTAAGCTGCTTCCTCTCTACTCTGTTAAAATAAGTAGAGGCTCGAGGTACTTTGGGGGTGAACCTTTAACAGCTCAATTTAGAGTAAAGGCTGCTGGAGGAAATAGTCGTAGGCCTAACTGACATTTTACCCTTGCATTTACATCTTAATTTATCTTTTTTATTTTTTAAAACTTAGTTTTACAGTAGTTGTGTACACAACATGTCTAAGGTATAATCAGTTTGTTTCATTTTATGGGAAAAGCAGAAAAAGGCTGACATCATTATGTTTTTTTATTTTTTTGGTCTAAAATAAAATACGTTCCTTTTTTTTTTTATATCGCTTACAATTTAAAACATAGTAATATATTACCTTAAGTTAGTTTTTTGGGTTTTTGATTGTGGATCTCTTTTGAACAATTATTAAATATAAAGTTTTAGAGACTGGTTTTATATATTCTGGAAAATTAGGATCTGACTTTCTGCTAACAGATTTGTGTGCAAATGACTCGACACCAAAGCCAAGGTTCCTATTTACCTCAATGTACAACAAGTCTCTGTTTTAGTTTTGGATCATCTAGTGCATTTGTACAGAACGATTCCTTGAGGAACCTTTTGGAAGAAACAATTTTAATCTCAAAGGCTTCCTTCACAGAGAGAGAGTAGCTGACGTCTTAACTCCACTGCAAACTTTTCCCCCTTTTTCTTTCAGGCCACAGCTACCGAGGACGTGGCAGAATCCCTGTCTCCAGATGACGGTGAGTTTTCTCAATTGGCACTCAGGGAACATTCAGTCAGTATTGTGTTTGAGTGACACTGTTGACATTGTGGCTCTCCTGGGTGATGCAGAGGATAGGATGCATTCTGAAAGAGACATCCTACAGGACTGCAGCAGTGAACACAGCCGCTTGACCAAAACAGAGAGCGACCCACCGGGAGACCTGTCACTGCCAGGTGAGAAATCCTCCGTCAGAAACAAAGTGCGAATCTTATCATCTTAAAGCTGCTCTAAACAGGAAATGAATAAAAGTAGTGGGATGTGCGGTGTTTATACAATCTGTTTCTGCATTAAGGCATTGTATGGACCTGTACTTCCTGCTGACACTTTAGAGAAAATCACTTGATTGACTGCACCTCCTAAAATTGACAGCACTGTCTGCCTCTTGCTTACTTTTGATTCTTTGCTAAATGTTAAATCTTCATTCTGGTACTTTAGCTACTTTAGTCTTTCTTCTTCAATCCAAGACTTTAAAGCTGTGATTCCCTGTGCTTTGCCACTAACCTGTATGCTCTTGGGCTTCTATGTGTTTCCTAACACTCCTCTTCTGTTCCCTGCCATCTTGTCTCTTTGTGTCACTTCACTTTGGCCAGCTCCAGGTCCTGATTCCTGCTCTATTGGTATGGAGGAATAACTGTGGTATGTAGGTCTTCCTGTCTGCTTAGCTTCTCTATGTATGAGCTCTACTGCTCTCACTTAATCTGTTTGTCCATGAATACATTCACTATTGTCTAGAAAAACTGATCCAGCAGATATTCGGCAGTAGATTTGCCATTAGAAGGAAGTTTTCAATGGCTGTGAGCCCAAAATGATCAAGAATAAACACAGATTCTGATGCACGTTGCTGCTCTTACTGAAAGTCTAACAAGAAACTTTGCACTGACTCATGTTGCTGTTGATTCGTCCTCTCCAGGGTCTTCAGAGTCTACAGAAAGCCTGAAAAGCGAGAGCACAAACTGCTCCAGCCAGCCTCTCCTGTGTCCCACGAGCAGCCTTCATATGGAAGACGAACACCTCAACCCCTGACTCTGATCCAGGTTTTCCTTCCCATTGTTGCTTCACTAAGATCATCCAGTTCCTTCATTCCTTTCTCCGCCCCAGCCCAGTCTTCTGCTTGTGTGATCAGAGGATCAAAGGCCCTGAAAGGAAGGAACGAGGGAGGACTCTGTTTATTTCATCAATGTCTCTCGACATTACAAAAGAATTTTGACTGCTGCAAAGATGCTTTTGGTACCTTACTCTATGACTGATGTTTGGAAAAAAAACAAAACAAAACGATATTGTTTCCCCAGCTTTGAAAAGACTTAATTAACTCTCACATGGTGTTCAGTTGTGTGTCTTGGCCAGAGTTGTGGTCTAGTAATGTAGATTCCAGAGATATTCCACTACCAGTCTTGGTGGTGCTTTAAAGTACACTTACTTTAAATTAACGCTGTATCAGTTTCTTGACACTAAATTCAGAAGAATTTATAAATACGGTTTGTGTTTTAGATATCATATTCATCAGTGAGACGCATTAATGACTTGAGAACTTGTTTTTCCCTGTCAGATCGATTTGGTTTGAGCATAATTTTGAAAACATATTACTTATTAGTATCTGTGTGTCCATTTGAGATGATTTTGCACTCCGACAAAATCCTTTATAATCCATTCCTTATAACAGAAGTATATGACAAGATTAGTTATCTGCTGTCTTAAACGTCGACACATCTGTTTTACTATTTCAAATGATGTGATATCTATGTATGATAACTACTAGAATCCTGTGCAGTTACTTCCAAAGTTGTACACTTGCATATTATATATATATAAAAAAAAATCCTGGTGTTGAACTAGACTCATTTAACATGCACATTATTTAAGACTGATAATCAATAAGAGCTACAGATTTACATCCTAACAGCTGAACTCAAAGATAGCTAAAGCCTGCAACAAGCATAGATGCTCCAGCTACATGTACGCTGACTTAGTTTGGCACAGTAAGTGTGCTTGTCGTAGATGTGGCAGATCTCTGTACAGTCTATTGTGGCAATGCCAGTGTCTGCTTATGTGATGTAGCTGCAAAAAAGGGGTCACGTGTTTGTGTGGCTGCAACGCCTTTACTTACCTTGGTCCTGTATGTGTAGCATCATGCATATAGATTTATGTGCCTTGAATTAATATGGCTGCCTGCTTGTTGCAATGGACATTAGTGTTCTTACCGATGCTACAGTAAACAACAATATACGGCCCGTAGACAGGATTTTTTGATGCTGATGTACAGAGCCTTTTTTTCTATCGCAAACTTCATGCTACTGGGAAAAAAAATGTATCTTGTTATTGTTATTGAGCAATATTCAACTGAACTGTTCATTTACTATGTTATGACCATGTATCGATTATGCATTTATTATTATTATTTAGGTTCAAGTGGCTTGTCGTAATGTATGTGTTTATTGGAAGGAACACATCCCAATGCATTTTGCATTTTGAATAATTGGGCTCGCATTTGCATGTGAATTTGTAGAGGTTTAAAACTTCTCACTGCTTTTAAGTAACGTGGTTATTTTGTCTTTATCCCCTCCTCTTCTGTGCCATTTCAACTTGACACTGTGCCTTCCCGTTCTGACCACTATTGACCTGGTATCCAGGATAACTCCACAGTAGGTGGTTTTTGGCTCTCTGTAAAATCAATACCTGTCTCTCCTCGTGTGTATAGCAGCATGTGTATAACAATAAAGATCA